CGCTATGGACGAGTTCCGAAACGTTCACGGGAGCGCGCCGAGGAAGCCCATGTCTCATCATCGGACGACCAGGCAGCTGCTGCGCGAGAACTGGAAACGAAGCAATTGGCAATGTACGACATTATCCTGACCATCTCCCAAGCGCATCACGCACACTGTGGATTCACGGAGGAGAAAACGCGGGGTCTTATCAGGAAGCCTGCCCTACTGGTGAGTAAAACCACTGACTGACGAGGGCAGCAAGTCATGAATCAGGGACCGTGATTGAGCGGCATCGAGGTGAAAATGATTCTATAACGGCCATTCTCCATTTTCAGACTGCGAACGAGATCAAGCTCGACAGCGGATCGACTGCCGACAGTATGGAGATGGAACGATTGACCATGTGGCAACACTTCGCTGGTCTCGTCACTCCGTCCATTCAGGATATTGTAGAATTCGCGAAACGAATCCCGGGCTTCCTTGAATTCGCTCAGGACGATCAGTTGATTCTCATCAAATTAGGCTTTTTCGAAGTTTGGTTGATCCACGTCTCCAGGAGCATCCTCGCCGAAGAAGATGGATCGAGGGGCGCGGTCACCTTCGCTGGAGGAGCGTACGTCACACGGGAGCAGCTTGAGTTCGTCTGTGATGTACGTAGGAGGAGGAACGTTGAATCCAAGGAAATATTCCGAGAGATGGGATAGCTTAATCGTTTGCAGGACTTCTCCGAATTGTTTTCGAAAAACTGTATTCCAAGAGAATCGTATGCTTCCTGACATCGTGTGAATTTTCGATTTGCAGATCGACTTCACGAGTAGTATGTTCAACTTCTTCTCTTCGTTCAACGGCCTCAGTCTCAACGACACGGAGATCGGTCTCTTCTGTGCAGTAGCTCTTCTGAGTAATGGTAAGTACAGTGCCCTGTTTCTTCCGCCCCATCGGAAGACTCGAATTCTCCGGTTAGCTCGATCAGAGACAGGTTTTAGCCATGATAATAATCAACCGCTCCTTCGCTTCCCAGCATTCTCGGAGCGAACGACACTATTCGACGCCCGAACCGTGGAGCAATGCCGACTTGTCGAAGCTCTAAAACTCCAAGTTATCCGGAATCATCCATCTGACCGACAACTCTTCAGTCCAATCATAGCGAAGCTGCCCGAACTCCTATAGCTAGGCAACCGGCCCGCGGACCATCTCCAATGGTTCAGAACTGGTTGGGAGAGACTCTCGCATCTGCAGCCCTTGCTCGCCGAAATCTTCGACATCGCTCTCACGCAAGCGTAGTGAACAGCTGCAACACCTTAGTTTTGTTTCCGTGGCTAGTTGTTCTAAATCTAATCTCCATCCTGACTCAGATCCTCTTACAATTAGAGCAGCTCTACCAGAGTACGAACCACGAACCTGTGCCAAACAGCTAGCGCACTGCCTGACACCGCGTGAAGAGAAATGCGGCGGATCCCGATACGTCAACCCGAAGGCAATTTTTTCGTCACTGCCATTTTACCGCGGTCGCCTCCTCGGGGTCTCTCGAGTGACGGTACGCAACTTGAGAATACTCCCACAGCACAAACATATATCACGCCCTGACCGTTCTCTGGATCAAACCCGAGCGGCATGATCCACGCCAGCTGGAACTCAAAGACCGGCGGATATCTCGGCGTACGAGCTACCTCACAGAATCAAACGGATACTGAGCTGAATTTCCATTTCTATTACGGGCCAGATTAAGGATTTCACTACGGCTCCGCCTGATTTCCTCCGGAATCGAATACGACGGACTGGGTAACTACTCTAATCAACTCTCCCAAAGGATCCTATGCCCGTAAGATTGTACCCGCCCGACTAGACGTCGATTTCGGTCAGAATGAATATAGATACTGTAACAGCCAGTTGGATTTCGGAGGAGAGCCAGCTAGAATGGGTTGTCCGGTGATGCATGTCGGTAGCGGCAATGCCGGCGGATAGACACGGGGAAGGGAAGTGGGGTTGAGAGAGAGAGCCGTCAGTAGCTAGAAGTGACAGCCAGCAGATAGAGGGACCGTAGCTGACGACTGACAACTGAGGAGCCGGTCGAGGATCGGAAGTGAGAAAATAAAGTAACGAGTCGGACGGTGATTATCAGTGCGTTGTCCCTCCCCTCTGAGTGGATCCAGGTATACGTCCCTATCGGACTGTTACAATACAATGCAAGCACTGATGCCGAAGACTCGCCACAGCAATTCAGACTTGTTCCTTTCCCAGGCTAGTTCCTTTTAAGATTCTCCCGTCCCACAGTGGATCAAAATGAGTTTCTATGTGGACAAAATTATTTTCCGTGAAATTTCGCTTTGCGAAGTGTCCCCGAGTCGGGATATACAAGAAAAAACTGACCAATCAAGGTTTAGGCGATCATGATACATTCTGTTATTCCTTAGAGTCAATAACAGAAATCACTCGAAGAGTCGCTTGAATTCTCCGTGTCATCCGTACATTCTGTGCTTGAAGTGTCATCATTGACTTCCGAGGACCCGACTTCAATCTCTGGGTCGACCCTCAGTAAAGCTGTCACTTCCGGGTCAACGCTCGATGACTTTTTCTTCAGAGGTTCTCGCAGGCTGACAATGAGAGGATCAGACGAAATCAACAGCATCGTCATGAGATCGTGGTTCGTATTCTCCCTTGAGTTCTTCCTTGTGTTGAGCGACCTGAAGCGGCGGCAATCCTTATTCCGCGCTCTTGCGCCTCCTCAGTTGACATACCGACGGGCAACGGTAAATATCTCATCACTTGAAGACTGTGGTCCACGATTTTGTGCACTGTCGGCGTGGCTTCATGCCACGGATACAGACTCCGCAAGAGTCGTTTCGTCTCCTTCACGTAGGAATTCGGAGTTTTATGGTCTCTGTGTCTCCAAGGAATTGTGCTTCTCAATCGTAAATGGAGATTTTCATGGTGACGAAAATAAATTATTATTCGGTAACCGGGTAAAACCGGGTGACAATATTTATTTTTCTGATTGCCGGAGGTCTGATGTGTGTCCCAGACTTGACAGCTCCCAGGGCCGCGAGGGGACACTATACTTTTGGTATCGCGAAGTTTGACGAAATTCGGAAGAATCCATGAGAGATATCACATCCTTCTAAGCAACCTCAAACATGTCTGATCCGGTCTGAATCTCGTTTAAACTTAAGATCCGGACGAGAACTGAGCTAGGAACAAACCTCCACACCCGCCGGAGAGCGGGGAGTGGCTTCGTTTTTGAAATTCATTGATTGGAGGAAAAAGAGTCACATGATGCCCGAATTCCAAGTTCTGATTCGGTAGTTGTGTATTCCGTAGCAGCAGCAGGAAATTCCGAGATCTCTATGGTTTTCCGACTTCCAGACATCGCTTTTCATGCCGAGCTATTAGTTGGTACGAAAATTTCGAGATGACTTTTGTAGCCTTTGTAGACTCACAGTAGCCGATTCACAATAGTCGTCTGAATCAACAGTGATCATATTAGAAACGTCGGTATTGACATTCAATCGAAAGCCCACTGATCGATTCGCTGGGCTAAGTCCTCAATCGATAAAACTTGAACATCATTTCCACCTATGAACAGTGCAGGATGACTTTTGTTCGGAGAATCTTGCGGATATGGGCCGGCTCTCATGGGTCATGATGTTCATTCAAGGACTGCACACCGAAGGTGAAGATGCCATCTCGGATCAGAAAATGTCCATTGTCTTCCGATAAGAGTAACTGCAAGGGCGGATAAGATGATCCTCAAGGGAATTCCCCGAGCTGGGACACCGATTCGGATCAACTATGTCGATCATTCGCGGAAAAATACTCACACGAGCGAGCCCAGGGGAAGGACGAAAGCAGGGACGAAATCATTAACGGGGCTCAAGGCAAGGCGTTAATGCTCGCGTTGAACACCTGCGAGGACATGACATCGCCGAGTACAGGAACCAGGGCCTCGCAAGCAGCCCAGAAGCTGAACGTCTGAGCTGGGAAGGCCTAATTAGTCGATCGGGGCTTGAATCGCTCCCCCGTGATGGAATACAAGGATAGGATCGGATTCCTTAATTATCAAGGTTACTTTACCTCTTCGAGAGGCGTAGCTGTATGAGCTCTTGAGACTCACTCGCGTAGTACATCCATCCGCGATAAGCGAGACCCCTGGTGAAATTCTGCAGCAGCATTGATGTCACGCCGATGATAGACATTGTCACGTCGCGCACTTTGAGTCCTTTGGAGCGAGATCAGACCAGGCGGTGCGATCGACACAAGGTCACCAATGCAAATAGAGACGTCACATCAGAGTACTCCGTTACGGACCAATCGAAGTGTTTCTTCACGAATTCATATATTACCGATGGGGGTGCCACTCGCTGCAAGTGAAAAGCTCAATTCAACAGAGGTCAAGAGAAAGCGGATAATGGGATAAAGGGAATAATGGGAGAACTAGGATCCCTCCAGTTTGATGAACAGACTCCTCGGATCGTCGCGGAATTCGAGCGGAGTTTCTAGGTATGCCCCGTGGATGAGATGGACAGTTCCTGAACCTTAGACAGAGGGGGACTTCTACCGGGTGAGGAGCTGGGGTTGTCACTCCGTCGTCACAGCGCGAGCAAAGTCTCTCAAGATATAAAGTCGTACTGTCAGATGCGACAGGAAAATATTTTTTCATTGGGCTCACCCGAATAGGTGTACCCATCTCTGACTCAGAACGCATCTCTGAGTAGCTCAGGCCGGTTGACGTTGAAAAGTATTATTGCCCATCCCGTCTTAAGCGGTCAAATGGAGGATGCTACTGTCTTGATTGTGGAAGATCGGTACCCTATGTATCTCGATTGTAGTACTGCAATCGAGGTGGAAGCTTGATAGCAAGTAGAGCAACAGTCGATCCCCGGATATCAGGACACATTGACGCGAATAGAATGCGAAAATACCGCCCGATATTCCAGCCTCAAATGATTAATTCGCTCGCTCGGACATCCTTCTCTTTCGACCGACGCCATGATCTCTACGGAGTCCTGGAGCTCCCGATCAGCTGTCCAGCTCTCTCACTCACACTCTCCCATCACTCACCCGAAAAACGCTCAACAGACCCCCATCTTCGGAGTCGCTCATAACATGAGCCTGCTTTCGTCGAGTCAGTGGTCGAAATTCACGAGGGCGCACGTTGTTCCGTTCATCTGGATAATCGTGAGTCAAATCTCTTACAATCAGAAGCGGAGAATTCGGTTACCCGAAATCCCGACTTCGTCGAATCCCCTATTGGGATCCGATTCGGAGTGAAACAGTATTTTGTTGATAAACTTGCCAAATCTTGCCATTCCGAGGAGATATGTGTAAGAGCTCAGCGGGATACGTTGTGAATATTCCGCGATGGCAGACTCAGAAGATCACGGATTCTCCCCGATAGCACAGCTTCAGAGAGGGAATGCTGCGTCGCAAACATACAAGAACGATGCATTATTCGCCGACGCGACTCCGGAAGAACTGCCCGTGTCCGTGCGGCGACGTGGATCGATGATCTCACAGTCTTCCGGCGCCGCGTCGGGTGCCGATTTCAGCGGAGCAGCTCTCAGCCTCTAACACACAGGCTTCTCTTCGTGGCCTGACAGATCGAAAAATATCTTTGTATGATCGAGCTTCGCCTGCGTTGAGATTCAATTTCGATCACCGGTGACTCTTGCAGGTTGGGACAGGGAGAGACAGCAGCCAGAATGGAAGCCTCACCTAACCTTGGAGCTCACAGCGCCCCGGGATCCCATCGAAACATCGATGGGATAGAAATCGACTTGAGGAACATCAAACACGAATGTAGGCCGCCCATCTTTATCCGTATTCTAGTTATATTCGTTAATCCGATTCTTCGACTGCTTCTTAAAATACTTCCCTCCATCCAGTGGCAGACATGAGTTTGAACGACCATATAGGCAGTGTCAACCTTATCACGCCAGGTATGGTCTCGTGAGTTACGGCAGGAGCTTTGGGTCCTTCTCGAGAGACAGGTGCATCGCAGGGTCATTCCCGATTCCCGAGCTCTGGGCTCTTTACTTCATACATTGTTTTCCGATTTCCAGGCTCGGCTGATATCGTGATGCCTTCTACCGCCCTGGTTCGGTCCGCTAGCGTCCGAGAGCCTCAGGCATCCTCCTCTGGAAGACGCGGACGCAGAACGAGAACACCGTATCAGGTAATGTGAACAGTTTCCGTTCATCACCCCCTACAAATCAGATCAGTCAGCCAGATCATTGGGCCCAAGTCTTCCCGACGAAAAATCTCTAGTCGAAGCTGACCCTCGGCTTATGAACTCAACTTATCAGTCGGAGTCACAGAATATGCCGCCTCAGCTGTTCCGCAGTCCAATCGGCGAATCCGGTGATTCTCATCAAAATCATTCTCCAAACTGGATAGCATCTGATCGACGGGCACTTTCGAGCTATCTGGGAAGCCACAATGAATAGAGCTGGATATTTAGCGCGATCGCGCGAATCCCGTAGAGGCTTCTGGCATTTTCAGGCCGGAAGGAGCTTATCAGAATCTTCCATTCGTTCCAGTACATAGAGGACCTGGGAGATGGCGACCCGCCAGTAGAGACAAAAGAAAGGAGTAGTACTGTAAGCTGAAAGTGTTCGAGAGTACCTTTCGAGATCTGCCCCCGGGAACCCTGCAGAGATCCGCTCCCCTCTTATAAAATGCAAATGAACCCGAGCTTAAACTGTATCGTGATGTCTTTGGTGTTTCGCTTCGTTTCCTCTTTCGACGAGAGAAGCCGCAGATGTCTTGGAACCCGAGCACGTTTCCATGAGGAGACGTGCAAGACCTAAATACCAGACAGCAGAATGAGTTCTAAATTTCTGGGAACGAGAATAACTGTGATAAGAGTATAGAGCGCGCGATCGCACCGAGAGCGAGGACGATTGTCCAAGTCCGAAACATGCATACAAAGAGAGAGTTGAGATATCAACAAAATGAAAGTGAGTTTTGACGGAGCTGCTGTGACTTCTCGAGTCATAATCACGGTCTAGGTTGGCGGGATGGTTTCGGGAATTTCGCGGTCGGGGGAAAATCCTCAAACCTTGCCGCCCGAGGGAGTCAAGGTTCGGGAAGCTGTATCTGGAATCGTCCAAGTTCTTGGCTGCTCAGCCTCGTGGCGACTGAGCCCGTCAAGCCAAATACGATACGGTCTCTTCTCGATACGGCCTCTCGAAATCCTCAGATGAGGACGTATTGTGCCCTCATGACTCCCGAATAAGGACTGTCATAGTACACCTAGACCCCTCCTGAGAACCTCCCTTTCATTCCTCGACGGTATGACTCGTAGGTGGGGTGGAATTCCATCGGTTTCAAGAGCTTACGAGGCTGGAATTGCTCTGTAGAGTTCTTCGCAAGTGGATATCAACGTGGCTCAGGCTCTTCCGATGCGATGGAAACGTCGTCGTTCGGACCAATCTCGTTGTTTGATCCATCTTTCACGATTCACGATACTACGATAGAATATTTTCACAAGTTTCACAAGCGGCGATGATAAATAATTATTAGGTAATTATATTATACAAGCGATCTGAGCCAATATGAAAACTGAGAGAGGAAATCCCGAGGGAGGAGGGATGCCTCATGGGGAGGAAGGTACTGAAGAATGTATCCTTCGCTGCGTCTTTCCTCCGGTTCCGACGGTTCCATTCTCGTACGAATTCATTCCGTGAACGCGAACTGCACCGATTGGCTCACGAATCAGAACCGCGGCATGATCGGGGAGCGATTGCGAGGGGAGGTCAGGGTCGTTCAATATCTATAGAGCGGTGAGGTTTTCGTACGTTTCTTCCCGAACAAACGAAACAATTTTTGTTCACCGAGCGAATTTTGAGTTCCCTGTAGGGACATGCTCCTCTCAGGGGAGCGTCATCGTGCACTCGTGTTTTGACGAGAGAGCCTCGTAGAAGCCGGAACGTTGTTCGAGCCGAATCACCCGTATCTATCAGAAATCCCTGGATAACATCAGTCATAAGAAACGAAATGGGAATGACGGCGGGGGACGTCGTGGAGCCCTCCATCTCTGGGCCTTACTGACCTTTGTGATCTTTGAATGAATTTTCCACGACCTTAAGATGAGAACCTGTTTCCTAGAGAGACTCAGATATAACACGTGATGTGCGTGGCGTAGCCCTAGAATGAGTGTTGCTTCTATTGACCGTTGAAATTGCATCCCGCTAGGCCGACGACGAAGTGATCGCGGCAAACGCCGCACCGGCTCCGTTGGTTCAGCGCACTTTCCAACACCACCCCTTGTGCGGGACCACGGAGCTCAATAGAGACCTAACTGTCTCCTGCAGCGATTGAACTTCTCAACGCTCAGGCTTTTGGTGAAAACGTCCGCGGTCATTTCGTTCGTCGAAATGTGTTTGATGGACACAAGGTCCTCTGACACCATATTGCGGATGAAGTGGTGCCTGAGATCGATGTGTTTCGTTTTTGCATGGAAGACGTCATTGTCGCTGAGGAGAATCGCTCCCTTGTTGTCACACCACAATGTCATCGGACGCTTGACCCTGAGTTTCAGGTCGATTGAGCCCTTTAGGTAGCGAAGGATCCTTTTGACAGCCGACCAATGAGCGTCCGTGGGGTCTGAACAGAACTGGCTGACTGCGCCAACTGCATGAGATATGTCTGGTCTTGTGGTCTGGGAGAGATGCAAGAGACACCCAACGGCTTCCCCGAACGGGGCTTCGGAAGGTTCTTCATTCTCTTTTCTCTTCGTTAGCGTCACGCTCACTTCGAGGGGAGTCGCTGTTGGTTTGAATTCTTCCATTCCGAACCCTCTCAACATTCTCGTGATCGCTTCCTTCTGATCGAGCAGTATCATCCTCTCGTTCGGGCTCTGCGTTATTTTGACTCCCAGACAGTAACTCGCTGGTCCGAGGTTCATCATGGGGAAGATCTTTGCGAGATTGGCGATTACGTCCGACTGCAGTTCGGCACTATTCGTGAATAGAAGAAAATCGTCCACGTAGATCGTGAGGATGAGAATAAGGTCTTTTCGTTGCGTGTAGTAGCAGCATCTGTCGGGCTCGAATTCCTTCAGGCCGAGAACTTTGAGGCTCGCATTGAGGGTCTCGAACCATACACGGCCGGCTTTTTTAAGTCCATATAGCGATTCCTTCAACAGGCACACTTTATTTTCCTTTTCGAAGAGGGCAGGTTGTTCCATGAACACCTCCCTCCAGGGCGCGAGTGGGGCTGACGTTCTTCAGCTTGCATGCCGTGTTCAGTGCTTTCGCCCAGAAACTCTTATCAAGAGCAGCACCCGATAACATGGCTCTCGCTTTTTCGACCAGTGTTCTTTGGGCCCGCTCAGCTACCCCATTCTGTTCCGGGGAATACGCAACGGTCGTTTCGTGACGGATTCCTCGCCCTTTCAGGAATGTCGATACTCGAGAATTGAGATACTCAGTTCCATTGTCGGTTCTCAAGGTCTTGAGCCGAGCGCCGACCCCCTTTTCTGCGTATCTCACGAATTCTCTGAGTTTTTCAAAAACTTCTGTCTTCGACTCCAGGAAGAAAACTACGGTGAAGCGTGTGAAATCATTGACGAACGTGATGAAGTATCTGTACCCGCTTATACTGGGAACACTCATCGGCCCACAGTCGTCGCTATGCAGTAGTTTTAACTTCGAGCTTGTTGCCGTCTGGGAGACAGGAAATTTTCCTCTGGACTGTTTTCCTGCGGCACAGGGCCCGCAAACCGGCCCTAGAACGGGGATCCGTACGTGTACCCCTCTTACCATTCCGTTCACCAGTTGCCGCATGCCGTCCGGACTGAGATGACCGAGCCTTTGATGCCAGAGGACGCAATCCTTCTGTATCTTTTCCCGAGCTTGGTCTTCTAGCGCGTGCGAACCGCTTCCAGACGCCAAAGCCGTTGCTCGCCCGTCCCGGACGACTTCCAAGTAGTTTGTGACTGAACAGGCCCCCGGTCTCTTGACACCGCCTGAGTTGTTTTGGGTCGCGAAAGTCCCCGGTTGCTCGTTGACCGCCGAGTCACTTCGGGCCGAACAGGCCGCTGGTCGCTCACAACCACCCGAAGCATTCTGGACTGAAGCGACCCCCGATCGCTCAAAATCGCCCGAGCCCTTGTTCTAAGTTGACTCAATCCCCCGTTCGCTCGGCGACCCCCGAGACGTTTCGAATCGAACAGGCCCGCGGTCTCTCGTCACCACCCGAGCCGTTTCGGACTGAGAAAACTCCCGGTCGCTCAACACCGCCCGAGCCGTCCGGGGGAGGAGGGGACCCCGAACGCTCGTGAACCATCGATTCCGCTGCAAGGGTCGTGGAAGAAGATCCCTCGAGTCTATACAGCCCGATGGTGCAGCATAGTTTATCGTGTCTGTTTCTCACCTCGCATCTGCTCCTAGAGATCACCTTGAAACCTCTCCTTACGAGTTGTTTCACCGAGATGAGATTGAAACTGAGACGGGGTACGAAGAGCACGCTTGTCAATTTGGTGGCTCGTGAAGTTCCGTCGACGTTGCAGTTGATCTCGATGTCTCCACTACCCTCCGAGTTCAAGATCGCGTCGTTTGCAGTGAGAACTGGGCGATTTCTTCCATTGTTCGCAAACGAGAAGAAATGGTGTTTCCATCCTGTCATATGGGAAGTAGCTCCTGAATCGATGAACCATTCGTCTGACCGTCGAGAACTGTTTGGAAAGTCGTAGTCATTATTTGACACTCGCGGGTCATTTCATCTCCTCTATAAAAGCCCGACAAAGTTCGCTTGAAATATATTCGGATATAAACTCGTTATTCCACTAGTGACTTGTCATTTTCTTGTGGTCTCGATTCTCATCCCGCAGAAGTTCTCAGGCAACTCATACTCTAATAAGAACAGATTAGCGCACGCTCGAGGTACTCGGGTCCGTGGCCACATATCAGCACCTGCTCGAACTGCTCCGGCTCCCCGAGTCCGTCTTTGTCTGCAGCTATTCTTCCATGCTCTTCCCGTTGTTTAGTCTCGAGTGGACAGAACCTCTTTATGTGACCCGGTCTGCCGCACCGATAGCACTAGCCGCGGAACGTCCGCTCTCTGGCAGAATTTGAACCCTCGGAGCGCGATCCGCCGCTGCGACCGTTACCCGAGAGACCCGGCCGAGACCTCCGAAAGTTCCGTCCGAGGCTGGCCGAAGCGGCTTCGTTCTTCTGTATCGCTTGCCGTGCTGCTTCGCTCAGCAACCTTTCCTTGACGAAGTCGATAGTAATTCCCTCCGCAACGGAGATACTCTGTATCAGCGGCGTGAATTCTTCAGGAAGTTTCATTCCGCCAGTAGTCGGTCTTCAATTCAACTGTTGATCGCGCGCAAGCTCTGCGCAGCATTGACTTTCCTTTTAATGTAGGCTTCCGTGTCTGAGCAGTCTGCGTATCGGATGCTCGTGAGCTCCTCTAGAAGCGCAACTTCCCGATATAGGCCCCTTGGCTGAAAGAGCTTCTCCAGTCGGTTCCAAATTTCCTTGCCTGAGGAAGCGTCGCGAATGTGCGAGAATAGAACCGGCTTCACACCAGAGACTATAGCTCCTCGCGCCCTCTTGTCTTGACGGGCGTCTATCTTCACTCCGTCGACGTAATCCCAGAGGTCTCAATTGTAAAGGTGGGACCCCATTGCAAACCTCCAGTCCATGTGATTCACCGCCCCCTCGAGCTTCTCAAATGGAGAGGACACGCTTACATTCGAAAGTGGAGGATTATTAGAGCTGGAGGCACATACTACATTCATACTGCTGGGATTCACTGCGTTTGCCTCTTCAGTATTCTTCTTCGCCGGGGCTGGTTCTTCAGCACGCGCGGCAGACCTCTTCCGTGAGATGTTGGATGGCCTCGATGGCTCCGCAGCCGCTTCCGTCGAAGATCTTGTTATCGGCATTTTTCAGCTCGTAGAAAAGTATGTCACACTGTCCTCACAGCACTTATGGTTCGTTTCTCAGATTATTGACACAGGGCTGGGCCCATAACCTGATGAAAACCTGTTTTCTAGAGAGACTCAGTGATAACACGTGCTGTGCGTGGCGTAGCCCTAGAATGAGTGTTGCTTTTATTGACCGTTGAAATTGTAGCTCGCTAGGCCGGCGACGAAGTGATCGCGGCAAACGCCGCACCGGCTCCGTTGGTTCAGCGCACTTTCCAACACCTTAGGTTTGGCTTATTGCCGAACCGGAATCAAACTTTCTTCACCGTGATGAGTATTCATTTCGATCGCGGAGCGGCCGGCGTCTTACTGTCCTGCGCGACGAATTCGCCCCAGCTCCGTCTCATCTGAAGCCGAATCCTCCTCTTTCCCGAACTTGATCCACATAGAAGCCATCCGGGATGGCCAATCCGTTCGAAGACAAAAAGGAATCAGGAGAAATCAATGCTCTTCCTTGGTCAAGCCTGGTGTCTTGTCCCTCCTCCGTCTCTCGTCTGAGTTCTGCATCAATACATTCAGATGGAAATATTCTTGAGATGATTGTACATGATTAAGGGCATCTACGTCCATGGCAATCGTAGCTTGTCAATTCGCCAAATGTAGTGCCTCGAGAACGGAATGACAAGTCGCGGCCTTAGTCCCTTCTAAAACGGACATTTCCATTCTTGCAGCGGCCGATAGAAGAATTAGAATCCGACAGAGACTGGTGGCGACATTTCTGTCAGCAGCAGCAAAAACTACTACTACAGCAACAAAAACTACTACTACTACAGCGACAACAACCACAACTACAACAAGAACAACAACAACAACAGCAGCCTCACCAACTGCAACAGCAGCAAGAACAACAACAGCAACCACAGCAACGACACCCCGAAGAAGAAGGGGACGAAGGGATTTTCCCTCCGGACCTCTGGGGGCTCCTGGGGGAAAGCTCCCCTCTTTCAAGGTCAGTATTGTAAACAGCCGTGCGGGAGAATTCTTTGGAGACGGGCTCCCGCCGATACGGTCTGTGAGAACCTCATAATCGAGGCATACACAGACATTCTCGAAATGATTATCTTTAGCTCTGCTTGGATGCTGTGCTAAGGTTGAGCGGATCATGAATTTACATCTACTTGCGGCTGATTTCTCGGATCTGGGCAACATTATATTCGAACAGCTACGGGGACACCGACGTGAGCAAGATTCCGTTTCGGATACATTCCAAAGATAATCCTTAGCTGACATTGGTTTCCTTTCTATTCGATGCTGATGATTCCGAGTGAATCCAAATGTATCGTCTGCATTGTCAGATCGTCGTGGAATCAGAGAGAAAACCTTGTCCGGCCTCAGTGCGAATTCGGCCCCGACTGCCGGAAAAATCTCGCAGTATCTCATCGTCAGGGATTGACCCTGTGATTCCGCGCACTCAGCGGTAGAATTTTTCGGAAAGAGATAGGCTCGCCAGATCCCGTTTTAGCGAATTCACCTGGGAGCATGGGTTCGAGAATTGGAACGAACCTGATGTCTATCACGTCTGAGAGCCCTTGATCAACATCAAAGGACGTCAAAGAGAGTGAGCCAAGAGAGGAAGCTGGAGAGGAATATGGTCTTCATTTGCAGAAGAACTTGAAGTTAGAGGAGAAAGATCGAATTCCTTCACGTGATGTTCTCACGGCAGATGAGGTCTTACTTAGCAGCAGGACCTTGGCCGGAGGGAGTATAGACGAAATTTAGACTCTTGCCGCCGCGCCGTCGACGTTGCCATACGCCCGCGGAGCAAATCGTTCATTTTGGATTTCCGTTCCGATGAGCACCGCATTGGAGTAGCTCGTTCAGCGGTTCCTTGAGGTCTTTCAGGTCTTTAATGAATTGACTGTAAAACGTAATCATACCCAGTAATGATTTGAGTTCTGAAACGTTAGTGGGAGACGGCATGTTGGTGATTGCCTTTGTCTTCTCCGGGTCAGGTGTTCTTCCGTGTTTATTTAGGATGAACCCTAGAAATTTAACCTCTTCCTGTAGAAATGAGCATTTTTCAGCTCTGATTTTGAGTCCGAACGATTGTAGACGCTTCATCAGGCGTTTTATTTTCTGTTCGTGTTCCTCGATCGTTTCACTTTTGATGAGAATGTCATCCAAGTAGGTGTCTTCCAGGGAGACCAGCAGTGACTGTGTCCATGAGACTTTGAAATTGGCTGGGTGCTGTCTTGATCCCAAAAGGTAGTCGTTTGACTTTGAATAATCCTTTGACAGTATTTATGCTGAGGATTTTTTGTGATTTTTCTTCGACTGGTACTTGTAGGTAAGCTTCCGCAAGGTCGATTTGACTGAAGTAATGTCCTCCATTTAGTTGTGCAAATACAGCATCAGTTGTGGGGAGTGGGTATACATCATCTTCAATGGATTTGTTTAATCCTGTTGAGTAATCTGCGCACATCCTGATGGTTCCGTTCTTCTTTTTCACGATGACCACCGGTGTGGCGAAGTCGGAGTGGTCGATTGCTTCGATGACACCTTCTTTTTGCATTCTCTCCAATTCTTCTACAACTTGCGGTAAAAGCGCGTAAGCTACTGGTCTTGCCTTTCTGAAGGTGGGTTTGATGTCATCCTTCAGGGAGAACTTCGCTTCGAAATTCTTGCACTTTCCGAGTCCGTCTGAGAAGATTTCTGGAAATTGTTTCATACATTCTTCCATGAATCTCTTTCTGGCTGTTTCCAAGCTCTCTGAATCATAACTTGGCTTACGGCGTTCCACTTGAAGTATTTGAGGTTGTGTATCGCTCGTCAGCAATGATTCTAGCTGCGGATCTCGTTTGATCCAATCGAGTCCAAAGAGTTCGCATTTATCGCTGACATGGCTTTCTCCGTGGAATTCGAAGTTATTGAATTTGACGGTACATGATAAGGTACCAAGAACTTTTAGAGATCTGCCGTCCGCTACCGTGAGCGAAACGGAGGGCGTTTCCAGTTTCGGTTTCCCGAGGGCTGACCAGATTCTAGTCGAAATGAGACTGACCTGTGCGTCTGTATCCAGTGTCAATTGGATAGGTTTGCCGTTGATGGTAACCGTCTTTGTCACTCGATTTGTGAGGCTCGACACCGCGTTGACTTGTCGTCGTGTTGTGTCGCGGGTTCTTGAGGAGCTTGGTTGCTGGTTGTTAGTTCTCGATTTGCAAGCGTTGCCGAGATGTCCGATTTTGGAGCATTTCTCGCATTCATATGTTTTATACTTGCAGTCATTTGAATGATGGTTTGGCTTGTTGCAACGATAGCATATGTATGAAGGACCAACAATGATTTTATTCGTACTTGTACGTTGTTGGGGGCGTCCCGTTGTTTTCGACGTTCGACCTTCTACTCCGTTGTATGTTTCTTCTATTTGAAGCGCAGAGATCCCTTTTGATAGATTCGAAGTGATCCAGATCATCCATGATCTGTGAAAAACTCAAGTTTCGATCCTGCTCGAGAAGTCGAGCGGCTCTCGTGCGAGTGTCGGAGTCGTCATGACTTTGCAGGGAAAGCATCAAGATGTATTGTTTCATCTCGTCTAGGGTTATATCACCCCATTCGGCTTCTTCAGCGGCTTCATTGATGGCGCTGGTGAGCTCTTTCAAGTT